CGGTGACTCCACGCCTCTTGCCCCACCACGCTCCTCCTCTCAGAACGAATCCTGTCCACAGGTCAGGTATCAACAAAGCCATATTGCTGGTGCTGTGGGACACAGAAGGGGCAGCCCTATGGGTGATACTGGGGGTAGTGGCACTGAGAGTTGGGGCTCTGGAACTGTGGGATGTGGATGTGACCTTTCCTAGGTCCTGCTGAGTGGGTGTGGATGAAGCTACCCAACAGCTGCAGTCCCGGCACAGGGGGCTCTGAGATTTACCCAGGCCCCACAGGGCTCTGACGGATCGTGCTGAGGATTGTGTCCTGGTGGGCGTGAGCCTGGAGCTTTCTCTTGCTCCAAAGCATCAGAGTCCCAGAGCTGTCGGACATGGTAGTGACCTTCCTCAGTCTCTGTGGGACAAGTGCAGGTGATGCTGTAGGCCTGGGGCAGTGGACTGCAGATAGGGCCTTGCTCAGGTTGCACAGGGTGAGCCCAGGAGTTTAGCACCCACGCACACAGTCCCAGAGCTGCAGAATGTGTGGGGGGTTGGGGGGGCGTTACCTGGATCCCACAGGGGAAGCACCAGTTATGGTGGGGAGTGTGCCCTTGAGTGAGCTCAGTTAATGCTGGGGAATGTGGCACCAACCATCAGGGTCCCAGGGCTGCGGGATGCAGAGGATAGTTTACCCTGGTCCTGCACGGTGAGCACAGGTTGCAGTGGGGACTATGCACCGGCAAGCACAGGCCTGGTGTGGTGGAATGCAAACAGAGCCTTCCACAGAGCCCATGGGGCCAGTGTGGGTGTCCTTCGGGCTTATACAACCAACAATCACAACTCCAGAGCTAAAGAATGTGGTAGGATCCTTACCAAGCTCCCATGGGGTGAGCGCAGGTCGTGCTGGGGACTGTGCACTAGCAGATGTGGGCCTGTGGCAGTGCAATGCAGGCAGGGCTTCCACAGGTCCCATGGGGCCAGGGTGGCTGTCCCCAAGGCTTAGAGAACCTACACAGTCCCAGAGCTTCAGGGCACAGGGGGTACCTTATTCTGCTCCTGCAGGATGAGAACAAGCTATGTTGGGGCATGTGCACCGGCAGCTGTGGGGTACAGGTAGGGCCTCCCCCAGTTCCCGCAGGGTGAGCACTGGTTACTCTGGGGGTTGTAGCACCAACAGCAGCAGTCCCAGGACTGCAGGATGCAGAAGAATCTATCCCCAGTACCATGCAGTATGCAAACTTGATGCTGGCCACCGAGAACCCTGTGCCAAAAGATGACAGCAGGGGGACCTCGTCAGAGCTTGTGTACTGGCCGCGGCCTCTGCTGAGCCCAGGATGAGGTGCAGAGGGGAGGCAGGAGTCAGCAGCTGGTGCCTGGGAATCTGCCCCTGCGGGATGCACACGGGCTTGCTCTGCGCCCTGTGAGGTGCGCCAGTTCCAGAGGCTTCCTACAGCAGCTGGGGCTGCCTTCTGGCCTCTAAGACAGAATGGAGTCTAGGAGAGCTGTGGAGCAATGTGAGTTCATTTTTCTGGGGGTGAAACAGCTGCTTGGACTCCAGCCAGCTTTCCAGACGGGCTTTAAAGCCTCCGAGGACCGTTTAACCCTGTAGTTAGGGCGTCGCCGAACTTTCCCACTTACCTTTTCTCAGCAATGAGGCGTCTCCCTCCCTCCCCACCCCACCCCGTCCCAGCCAGGGAGCCAGGACAGAAGTGGCGGGTCAGGGAGCCAGGACAGAGTGGCAGGCCAGGGAGCCAGGACAGAAGTGGCAGGCCAGGGAGCCAGGACAGAAGTGGCAGGTCAGGGAGCCAGGACAGAAGTGGCAGGTCAGGGAGCCAGGACAGAGTGGCAGGCCAGGGAGCCAGGACAGAAGTGGCAGGGTGCCTGTTCCTGGGCCTGGGCTGAGTCTGTGCTGTTGAGGGTGCCTGTCCCTTCTTTACTGGAGTCTCCCCTCAGTCTCCTGGACATGCAGTCCTCCCTTTGTTCCCATTCTTCTTGGATCCTCCTTTAATATTTCGTTCACGACGTTTGTGTCTATTCCTGAGAAACATAGATCTTCTATTTTGCTTATTTATTTATTTGGAAGGCAGTCAGAGGGAGAGAAGGAGAAACAGAGAGAGGTCTTCCATCCACTGCTTTACCCCTCAAATGGCCATTAACAGCCAGAGCTGGGCTAAGTCCAAGCCAGGAGCCAGGAGCCAGGAGTTTCTTCCGGGTCTCCCATGTAGGTGCAGGGGCCCAAGGACTCTGACCATCCTCCGCTGCTTTCCCAGGCCATTAGCAGGGACCTGAACCAATGTGCATATGGGATGCCAGCATTGCAGGCAGCAGCTTAACCCTCTGTGTCGCAATGCCAGGCCCTGCTTTTGTCTTGTTATAATGACCTTTTTAAGTTCTGGAGATCAAGTTTACGTTGGCCTCATAAGTAAGTTGAGAATATTCCCTTTTTTATTTTATGGGAGATTTGCTATAAGATTGGTATTATTTCTTCTTTGAATGTTTGGTAAAATTCAATAATGATGCCTCTTGAGCCCAAAGTTGTCCTTGAGAGAATTTTTAAACTGTATTAATTTATTTCATGGATGCATGATTGCTGACATTTTCTATTTCTCCTATGAAATTTTGATGTTCTTATTTTATAGGAATTTACCCATTTCTCTGAATTTTGTATTTTAATTCCTATGTAGTCATAATATTCTCTATTTTCATTGTCTATAGGGTCTATAGTTATGTTCATTTTTCCTTTGTTTATATTGGCTATTTCTGTCTCCCCTCTTGTTTGCTTAATCACCATAATTTTCCAAATTTTGTTAGTTTGTTCAAAATTTCAACATTGGGTTTTGTTGATCTTCCATGGTGTATGTTTATTTTTATTATTTTTATTCTGACCTAAGTTATTCTCTTCTTACCAATTTTTATTTAATTTGCTATTCTTGGGGCCAGCGCTGTGGCGCAGCAGGTTAATGCTCTGGCCTGAAGCACTGGCATCCCATATGGGCGCCAGTTCAAGACCCGGCTGCTCCTCTTCCAATCTGGCTCTCTGCTATGGCCCTGGAAAGCAGTAGAAGATGGCCAAGTCCTTGGGCCCCTGCACCCACGTGGGAGACCCAGAAGAAACTCCTGGCTCCTGGCTTTGGATTGGCACAGCTCCAGCAGTTGTGGCTGATTGGGGAGTGAACCAGCGGATGGAAGACCTCTCTCTCTCTGCTTCTCCTTCTCTCACAGTGTAACTCTGACTTTCAAATAAATAAATAAATCTTTTAAAAAATTTGCTATTCTTTTTCTCACTTTGGAGATCAAAGGTAAGATGGTTGGTTATCAGCATTTGTTCTGTTTAAATACATACATGTTAGGTTAGAACCCTTTCTGTAGTTTTAGTTGTATCCTATGTTTTGCTATGTTGTATTTTCACTTCAAAATATTTCCCATTGTGATTTCATCTTTAACCTGTGTTTCCTTAGAAGTGTTTGATTTAATTTTTAATCATATAGAACATTTTTCTGAAAGTTCTATTTCATTTATTTCTATCTTAATTACACTGTGTTCAGTTTGACTTAAATCCTTTGATATTTGTTGAGACTTAAAAAATGTTCTGTGTGCATATATCCTGTAATAATTTGGTTTGTATATTCCATAATAATTTAGAATTGTTTTTTATATATGTTGATCAGTCACATTGTGTGTGTATGTGTGTTGTTCAAACTTCCTATTATCATCTTGGTTTCTGTTTTGTTTTGTCTTCTAATAGCGTCAGTTACTAGGAGAAATGTGTTAAAATCGACTGCTGGTCAGTCCTCCTTCTGATAAGGGCAAGTGAGTCTCTGATCCCGCGAGCCTCCCAGGGAAGCCGAAGCCAGGACTCCTGGGGGACTCGAGCCCGGTCTCCTGTCACCTCTGAAGCCCCCGGGGTGGATTACCCGCAGCTCTGAACTGCACAGCTGAGTGCACAGGCTCAGGGTGTTCCTCAGTACACCTGGGGGCAAATGAGAAGTCCTGTCCGCCAGGTGACCCCAGAGGTTTTCCTGCACTGCTTCGTCTTCTAACTGCTCAGCAGGAAACAGTTCACTGGGTTTGGCCCAAGGCAGCCACCCCCTGCTAGTGCGGGGACCCCGACGACCTGTCCTGTCGCCATCTCAGTCCGTGCACCTCCCCAATGCTTCTCCTCAGTGACTTCCTCCATCAAGCGTGTCTCAAGATAGACCCGTGTCAGGAAACTCAATACCGAGGGCTTCAGGACAGGAGGTCTGCCCACCATCCGGCACCGGGCAGCCACCGGCCTCTTTGCTAATTTTAGCATAACAACACACTGAGAAGTCAGAAAGGGAAAGCTGGCAAATCAGAACATGCTAAGGTCATACAGCCTCATACAACGGTCATGATGCAGCCTCGTCAGCCGTTCACTGGTTTTTGTCAGGTGACACTCAGATCGGCCAGTTCTTTCCCAGCCCTCAGAATCAGACTAAGCGTTCCTCCTTCTTCCAGAAAGCCTGGAACCCATGGCAACTCCTGCCTGCGTGTGGAAGGCGCTGGCGATAGATTCCACGGTCTCCACGGTCTCCTCTAGTTTTGTCCCTGCTTGTTTGAATCATAAGCGGGCACCCTCTCTTGGGCTGCACAGGTAGATTTAGTGACACCTCCACTCCTGTGAAGTGGCCCTGGCCACACGGTGGGCTCTCTAGAATCCTCTAAAGGTTGCTTATTCTTGGCAGCAGTATTCACGTTCGGATAGATCCTGAGTAACTAAGTAAGTAATGGTAACACTGCACTGTCTGGAAACGGAACTAGGAGGGAAAGGGCACCAGCCTCGCCTTTCAGTGGCTGTGGGGACCCACCAGCCGCAGCCCTGAGCTGCCCCCGAGGACGGGCAACCCAGACGGACCGTGTTTTCTGTAGTCAGGACAACATCCCACCCGTAAGTAGTTTTCCCCAGAGACGTTCGTCAATGATCAGAAACGGGTTGAGTCCAGGAGTCCTGGCTAAGGAATCGCGCCTTTAAACAGTCACACAGCGTGGAATTGAAAACTGGAAGGCAGGGGCTGAGGGCGTGGGCGAAAGTTGGGCTAGGGTTAGAGAGCTGGGACAGCGAAAACTCTGGGACTACAGAAAAAGAAGCCGAGGCCCTGGGCTAGTGCTCAAGCTTGTTTGGCAAGCATGGAGCCGGGGCTGCTAATACAATAGCTCAGGGAGGTGGGGCAGCAGGCGGAGGAGACATGGCCCTGGGCACACTCCCACGCTCCTGGGAGGAAGATGGTCCCACGGCAGGTCATCAGTGCTCTTCCAAGAACTTCCAGGAGTCTCGACTCTCACTGGTGGTTTAAGGCTCAGCACTGGACAGCATGTTGCTCAGTCTGTAGTCCGGCTTCCTTCTGTCGAGAAGGGAGAGGGGGCAGGAGTTCAGAGCCGCATGGTCTGGAGAAATATTTCTTTAAGCATAGCAAATCCTCCCAAACCCTGGGAGTAGAGTTGTTTTGTGGTTTAGGAGATGACCCCACAGGGTGGCTCCCCGAAGAGTCTAAGTCCAATCAACAGAGACATCCATGTCAGACCTCCTGGGCTCTACCTAGATTCTGTAGGCCTGCACGAGGAGATGGGGCAGGTGCTGTGGCACAGCAGGTTGCAGCATCCCATATGGGCACTGGCTGCTCCACTTCCGATCCAGGTCCCTGCTAATGTGCTTGGGAAAGCAGTGGAGGATGGCCCAAGTCCCTGGGCCCCTGCACCCATGTGGAAGACACAGAAGAAGCTCCTGGCTCCTGGCTCCTGGCTTCAGGTGGGCTCACTTCTGGCTGTTTCAGTCGTTTAGGGAATGAACCAGCAGGTGGAAGACCTCTCTCTCTCTCTCTCTCTCTCTCTCTCTGTGTGTGTCTACCTCTCTCTGTAACTCTTTCAAATAAATACATGTTTAAAGAAGAGGAGATGGGGCTGGGGCGAAGTCAGCAGGGTCCCCAGACAGGACTGTGTGCCCGAGTTCGGGATGCGCCGTCTCTGGGAGCGCGGGCAGAGGGAAGCTGCTCAGATCCTACCGTTTACTCCAGACGCATGCAGATGTTTCCGCAGAGGGCGGTACAGCAGTAGTGGCCGCTGCGGCACTCCACGGGCAGCTTGCAGAAGGTGCGGCACTGCTGCTCGGTGGGAACCTTCGCACAGGAACTCAGTTTCGGCCTTGATAAAACTGATAGGACCGCGTGAGCACAGGCCCCCCGGGAGAAGAGGGCCTCCCGCTGCCATCGGCCCCCTCAGGCCCCCGACTCCCCTTCTCCTCTCCCTGCGCAGCCATCACACAGCCGCCCCGTGGGGTTTAAACCCATGGAACCCGCGTCCAGTTCTCGGAATGAAGATCCTGAGAGGTTTTCTCACCTCCCGCCTGTTTTGCAGGGTGGGAGGAGTTGAGTTCCAGTGCAGGGGAAAAGCCCTGCTCCTGCCCCAGCTCCTCCTCGCCCTGGGCTGGGTCATTTCTTCCCGGGAAGCCTCTGTCCTCGGCTCTCTGCCCAGCACCCTCCATGCCTCCTTCTGCACATTTGGGTCATTTTACACCTGTTGTTGCAAACTTCACTCCAACAAGCATGTACTGTCTTTCTCCTCCCTATGCCCAATGTTCTGAAGCATTCAATTCCTTTACAAAAAACAGAGACAAAAAAAACAAAATAGCCTGTTTCAAGAAATATCTAGAGGGGCTGGTGCTGTGGCATAGCTGGTAAAGCTGCTGCCTGCAGTGCCAGCATGCCATATGGGCACTGGTTCAAGTCCCGGCTGCTCCACTTCCGATCCACCTCTCTGCTACGGCCTGGGAAAGCAGTGGAAAATGGCCCAAGTTCTTGGCCCCTGCACCTGCATGGGAGACCCGGAAGAAGCTCCTGGCTTCAGATAGGCACGGCTCCAGCTGTTGTGGCCATTTGGGAAGTGAACCAGAGGATGGAAGACCTCTCTCTCCCTCTCTGCCTCTCCTCTCTCTGTGTAACTCTGACTTTCAAATAAATAAATACATCTTAAAAAAAAAAAAAGGAAATAACTAGAACCCCGTTCCCAAATGTGTTCACATTTGCAACTCTTAACTCCTGGTAGCTCGAGCTGGGTACCCTCTGTGCAGGCTCTGAACCCTCGGGGGCTCCTCTCTGCCAATTCTCCTGGACAAAGACTCCAGGGGCCACCACAGGCCCCCAAACACGCATCAGCACACGGTGTTGCTCGTATCACCGGGAGACCCTCAAGCTTGAAGACCAAGCATTTACTTTTCTCCAGGCACCCAGCATAAAAGGAGCCGGTGTTTTTGTAGCTGCCAGCCCCTGGGGCCCTATTTGTGACTGCACCAGGAAACGTCTGCTTGTTTTCTACCCACTCTTCGTTCTGAAGCCCAGCCAGGACACTTACTGTAATCTGGAAATTCAATTTCAGGATGAACTCTCTCCTTCCATGTTCCTGACACTGGCAGGGCCGCCAGGCTGAGGAATGTCAGGAACTGCAGGATGGAGCCCTTCATGGCGTGCAGCCTGGGCGTCAGAGTGCGAGGCTGCCGGGAGACCCAGGATTCCGCCCGGCCCAGCAGGGGGTAGAGAAGGGCTCCAGGTGGGGGTTGGGAGGACGCCTGACCAGCCTCTCACTGCCCTGCCTGGTTCTGCCTCTTCCCCTCCTCTCTCCACCACTCCCTGTCTAGGCATTGGCTGCCCATAAAGCAGTTTACTCTCTCATAGCTCCCAAGAGAAACTGCAGAAATTGCAGAAATGAGTTCCTTACAACTTTTTAATTTTTTATTTCAGACGTTCGACAGCAGAAAAGCAGTAACGTATTAGTACTCATTATCTACAGAGAACGTCTGTTCATAATTTGATATACATTCTCCCAGTCTACTGTAGCTGCATGTATAGCATCTATATTTATATCAACTCTTCACCCATTTGCAATCCATATCTTCTGTTGCACTTTTCATCAAATTGGCATCAGATTCTATGTGATGCTCCTAATGCTCTTCATTTCATCAGATTATTTCAGAAATAACTATTTTTGAGGCAGGCGTCTGGCCTGGTAGATAACGCATCACTATAGCAGAGTGCCTGGGTTCAAGCCCTGGCTCCGCTCCCGAGTCTCCCACTCCTCGCTTCCTGTTGATGCACACCCTAGGAGGCACCGGGTGCTGGACCAAGTATTTAGGTCCCTGCCAACTATAGAGGAAACCTAGATTGAGTTCCAGCTCTCAGCTGCAGCCAGACCCAGTCCTGGCTGTTGCAGGCATTTGGGGAGTGAACCAGAATGAAAACACTTTCTCTCTCTCTCTATTTCTCTCTCTCTCTTTCTCTCCTCCCTGAATGTCTCTCCAATTAATCAATTAGTTAATTACTTAATAATGTATTTTCTTTTTCTTTTTTTTTTTTTAAAGGCAGAGTGGACAGTGAGAGAGAGACAGAGAGAAAGGTCTTCCTTTTGCCGTTGATTCAGCCTGCAATGGCTGCTGCAGCTGGTGCGCTGCGGCCTGCGCATCGCGCCGATCCGAAACCAGGAGCCAGGTGCTTCTCCTGGTCTCCCATGCGGGTGCAGGGCCCAAGTACTTGGGCCATCCTCCACTGCACTCCCGGGCCACAGCAGAGAGCTGGACTGGAAGAGGGGCAACCGGGACAGAATCCGGCGCCCTGACCGGGACTAGAACCCGGTATGCCGGCACCACAAGGCGGAGGATTAGCCTAGTGAGCCGCGGCGCTGGCCAATAATGTATTTTCTATATGATACTTTTAGGGCCAATGCCACCTATTTTCCTTACGTCCTGTGATGCATGAGCGGTTGAAGTCAGTAGTGGATTCTCACAAAGTGACACTCCTGTAGACATCAGCCAGATTAAGAAAGAGAAATACCACATGACCTCCTCTCTCCCCACTCCTCAAAAAAGGAAAGAGCATTCTGAAGTTTAATCGTAAATTAAATTGCCTGTGTTGAACTTTGTAAATGGCATAATGCAGGGTATCTAATGCAGGGTGTCTGGCTTCTTTATCTCAACATCATCTTTAGGGAGTCTGTCCATATTGTGGATATCGGCCATTCAGTATTGTTACTATAGAATGTTCCATTGATTTAATGTAACAGAATATTTTATCCAGGGAATTTTTTTTTTTTTTTTGGACAGGGAGAGTTAGACAGTGAGAGAGAGAGAGAGAGAGAGAGAGAGAGAGAGAGAAAGATCTTCCTTCCGTTGGTTCACCCCCCAAATGGCCACTAAGGCCCGTGCGCTATGCCAGTCTGAAGCCAGGAGCCAGGTGCTTCTTCCTGGTCTCCCATGCAGGTGCAGGGCCCTAGCACTTGGGCCATCCTCCACTGCCTTCCCGGGCCACAGCAGAGAGCTGGACTGCAAGAGGAGCAACCGGGACAGAATCCGGCGCCGCAACCAGAACCTGGGGTGCTGGTGTCGCAGGCAGAGGATTAGCCTAGTGAGCCATGCACCGGCCCGGGGCACTTTTGATAGGTATTTGGATTGTTTCCAAAATGGAGTCTGAGGAATGAGAGTTAAAGTGAATTGTTCTATGTCAGCTGTTCTGGGCTGTGTTCTGAGATTGGAATCTGCTTTTTCCTGGTGACTAGTGAAGCTGGGCATCCTCTTGTCTTTATTGAATATTTTCGTTTTACAAATTACCTGCTCAATTTTTTCCCCATTTTTCACTTTTCTACTCTTTTTCTATTTTTTGGTAAGTATTCCTTACATATTCTGGGTATGAGTCTTCTGAGCAATACACATATTGCAAATATCTTCTCCCTTTTTGTTCTCTTAAGCATGTCTTTTGATAAACAGAACTTACTATTTGAATGTAGTACAATTTATCAATCTTCTGCCCTGTGGTTAGCCCTTTGGTCTCTCCTTGAAGGAATATTTCCTTCCCCAAAATTATGAAGACAGACTTCTGTTCTCTCCTGGAATCATATACCTTTGACAATGAACTCTATCATCAAAATTATAGATTTTGTACTAGCCAACTTTTCGTCCTATAATGAACTACCTGAGGCAACTGACTCTATAAATAGAGAAAGAGCTGATTTACCTCACAGTTTGGAGATGTAGGTCCAAGTTCAGGAACCCCATTGGTTTGGCCTCTGTAAGGGCAGCAAATGACAACAGAGGAGTAGGTACAGACAACCAATCACTGACAAGACAGGAAGAGAGGGAGTGGCTCGGCTCAACTCCGGCTTTTATAACCAACCCTCTCGTGAGCACTACCATCCAGTGCCCCCAGCAATCTCCCACGAGGCCCAGCTCCCAAACACTGGAACTAGTTTAAGTTCTCACTCTCTTACTACCCCTAACTTATGATCTTGGGGTTGAAACGTCTGCTTCATATTCAAGCTACAGCAGATGTAAATGTGTTCTTTAAACATATATAAAGCAGGATTAAATTCCAACTAATTGAGAATAATTGGCTCTTTTCTCACAGAATTAAGGACCTCAGAACTGTGCTTTGTGTTGTTCTTGTTGGTTTTTCTTTAATACATTTTTTTTTTAAAAAAAGCAGCTTTAGGAACAGAACAAAATTGAGTTGAAGGTACAGAGTTCCATGTACCCACACACCACTAGCAACATCCCTCACCAATGATCTTGGAGATCTTTATTACCAAATTCATGGCTTGTATCAGGGCTCATTCTTGGTGTTGCACATTCTATGGGTTTGGGCAAATGGGTTGCAACATGCATCCACCCTTGTGGGATCAGACAGTGCAGCTTCACTATTCTAAAAGTCCTTTGTGGGACCTGTGCTGTGATGTAGCAGGTAAAGCAGCCACCTGCAGTGCCAGCATTCCATATGGGTGCCAGTTCGAGACCCGGCTGCTCCACTTCCAATCCAGCTCCCTGCTATAGCCTGGGAAAGCAGTGGAAGATGGCCCAAGTCCTTGGGCCCCTGCACCCATGTGGGAGACCCAGAGGAAGCTCCTGGCTCCTGGCTTCGGATTGGCACAGCTCCAGCCATTGCGGCCATCTGGGGAGTGAACCAGTGGATGGGACATCTCTCTATCTCTCTCTGCCTCTGCCTCTCTCTCTCTCTCTGTAACTCTGCCTTTCAAATAAATAAATAAATAAATCTTTTTAAAAGATGTCCCCTGTGCGCTGCACTCTCATGTCTTCCCTCCCCAGACCCTGACAAGCGCCGGTCTCTTTGCTTCCTCAGACGTCATGTATCTGGAATTACACAGCCGGCTGCCTTCCAGATCGGCGGCTGTCATTTAGCCACGTGCATCTGAGTGCCCTCCGTGTCTTTTCAAGCTTGTAGCTCATTTCTTTTCAGCACTGAGTGAGTTCCATCGACAGATTGCCTCAGTTGATCCTGTCTTGGTGGCTTCCAAGTGGTGGCCGTGAGGAGCAAAGCTGCTGTCACACCCATGTGCAGGTGTTTGGGAAAACTCGGCAGTCAGGAGTGCGACTGCTACAGTGAGGGCACAGTATGGTTCACTCTGTACGGAATCACCAAATCACCCTTCCGAGTGGCTGTCCGTGGTGGCTGTGTGGGTCGGTGGCGGGGAGCCCCTCCCTCGGGAAGTCTCCAAACTGGAAGGGAGAGGCATTCCCCCTCCCCCCACTTGGTCGGCTGCAGAGACATGCTGTCAGTGACCTACCCCTCCCCCAAAACAACAATGGAGTGTTCTGTGTGCTAATGCCTTAGCTTTAAAACAAAATCCTGCGTTTTAGAAACCTTAATAAAAACAGCATTTCAAACTGTGCGGCCCCACAAGCACACAGTGACCGGAAACACAGACATCTCCTGAGGCTCCTCCCGCACCAGCAGCTTCCTGTACGTGCTCCGTTTGGGGTTCCCCTCTTCTGCGGGGTTACTCCCGGCCGTGCCAGCACCCACTTCCCCTTCCCGGCCGTGCCAGCACCCGCTTCCCCTTCCCGGCCGTGCCAGCGCCCGCTTCCCCTTCCCGGCCGTGCCAGCGCCCGCTTCCCCTTCCCGGCCGTGCCAGCGCCCGCTTCCCCTTCCCGGCCGTGCCAGCACCCGCTTCTCCCTTCCCGGCCGTGCCAGCACCCGCTTCTCCCTTCCCGGCCGTGCCAGCGCCCGCTTCCCCTTCCCGGCCGTGCCAGCGCCCGCTTCCCCTTCCCGGCCGTGCCAGCACCCGCTTCCCCTTCCCAGTCATGCCAGCACCCCTTCTCCCTTCTTTCTGTTGGGCACTGTCTCCTTCCGTTGGTGGGGGCCTCTGTGGCTTGGGTTCTGGCTTTGCAGGAGCAGGTGTAGCAGACGACCTTGTGCTTCTCTGAGGTTTGCCCTTCACCTTGACTTCTCCTTCTGAGTCCTGTTTGGTGGCGGAATACAGGTGGCAGGCACGGGCGTGAGGACTTTGGTCAGTCCAGCGGTCACTCTCACTTCTTCTCTGGTCAGTCCAGCGGTCATTGTCACTTCTTCTCTGGTCAGTCCAGCGGTCACTCTCACCTCTTCTTCTCTGGTCAGTCCAGCGGTCACTGTCACCTCTTCTTCTCTGGTCAGTCCAGCGGTCACTCTCACCTCTTCTTCTCTGGTCAGTCCAGAGGTCACTGTCACCTCTTCTTCTCTGGTCAGTCCAGCGGTCACTGTCACCTCTTCATGCT